TCATATGAGGGATAATGAAGGGAGTAATAAATGTATTGTTGTCCTGCCGCCCAATGTGCGAAGGAGATGCCTTTGTTTTTCATTTTGTCCTTCATAAATATATAACTGTTAATCCATAATGCATAAAGAAATTATTCAATTTCCAAAACCCCCTATAAAATGTGTTGCACTGATTCCCTTGACAGGCAATGATTTATTACTTTGCATCGAATACGATCGTACTATAGATCTACGTAGCGAGTAATAATAGTATGCTGTTAAAGTTATTATCTTAAGAATCTTCATATTTTGTCAGTTTGAGGAGAATAAAATTGTTATCGTCTTTTCAGTGGTGTCGCAATCATACAACGCGAACGTTATGGACGAGAGCGTGCTCAAGGGTAACACCGCGATCTTCAAGTGTCACATTCCAAGCTTTGTCAGTGATTACGTCTACGTAACATCCTGGCTGCAGGACGACGGTCACGAAATTATTTCCCAGGATGGCTTGTATGGTGCGTGCACACTTTTTTCTTTGCCTATTGTTAACCGCCCTATTCTAAGAATTAATCATTCGTCACACGTGAAAGATATTTTCTTCCTAACACGACGTTAGTACTTGTTAACAATATTTCAAAGAAAACCTATAGACATTTGAAACGGGCCAAAAATTTATTTCAGCTAAATCGCAATTTTTTTTTTTTAATAAACTTATATACGTACCTATGTCGAATTTTCTTTAAAGCTCTTGTTGCGATCTAGAGCACAGTGACCGGCTTCGTTTTATGTTACACGCTTATACGAGACTGATTATTATTGAATCGATTCAAAAAGTCAGAAGGTTAAATTTTTAAATTGGTCCTTAATTTGTGGCACGCTGAGGAAATGGACCGCAATTGGAATGCGGTCCGTGTAGAAATTTGTGAATCAAGAATTAAATAGTGTGCAATATTTTCGGACGTACAATTGGAAAGAATTCTTGAAATTCCGCTTGCTGAACTATTTTCGATGACTATTAATGAATCGTTTCCCAAAAGCCGTCTTGACATTAGAATTTATTTTAATACTAAAAATCCACAACATCACACAATTTTATTCGAAAATAGTCAGTACAAGGAAAATGCAAGAAATTACAAATATACTGAATATTCTTTTTAACTGATCACTTTACAACTTAGATACTGAGGACCTTTTTTATAGCAAATTTAATTTCTCATAAAAATGTTATTTACGTTTTTGCTGTAAGTCTAGTAATTTATGAGAAAAACGAAAAAAAAGATAAAAATTTAAAATAAAACTAAGATTTTTTAGCAGTGAAACCGTTCAAGTCACATAGATTTTACTATAGCCAAAAAACAAAGACTACTATATAATTATCGTCTATGGACAATAAAATAACGTGAAATTAAATAAAAATCCGTAAGTTTGCTTGTTAAATGAATAGGAAAATTTCAAAATTAAATTGCGAGTACTAAATATTAAAATTAAGAGCTGAAATTTGGTGAGAATTATTTTTCCCAATGTTTACAACAATATTTCGTCAATGGAGCGAAAAAAAAAAGAAATGTACTTTTCCAACGAAGCACCCTAATGTACTTATCTAATTTAATTCCACAAACAGGCAAAACTTATTCTTTATAACTGAACCGATTGACGTGAAATTTTGACTGAATGTGGCGAATGTCTCAAGGAACAAAACTTATATAGTGCCGAAGTGCGCTTTTGCCCTGGGGGTGGAAATTTTTACGCCCAAAATAACCACAGGAATCGATAGAGGAGTCAATTTTAAGTAACAAATGTTATATAAAGTTTTTTGGATAATCCAATATTTTCCGAGTAATTCGTCATCGAAAATGTTGATTTTTTACTGAAAAAGTGCTTGTTTTCGGACAGTTTCTTGAAAATAGCTTAACGAAAAAGTTGTAGTGAACAAAAAGAAAGGTAATAAAAAACAAATCTAATGGCATTATTTTGTTTTTCTTTAATTGCAATATAAACCGACTTATGGATTTTTAAACATTATTATATGTTATAGCTAAAAACTAAATTGGAACCGGTTAACGTTAAATAACGCCAAAACCATAAATATTAGGAAAAAAACTGTTTGAACCTTTTTTAAAGTACTTTGAAAAACCTTTAAAATGTGCTATTTTAAAACTCTTTAGAATCAAAATTAACGGAAATATGATCGAAATAACATGATAGTCTCATTTTTTTAAAGAAAAAATTACTAAACAAATCAGTGCCTTTGGTGACAGAATTAAAAGCAATCCATTTACAGATTTCTTCATTTATGTTCTAAGAATATGTTCTGGGTCTTTGGCTGACTTACAAAGCATGATTTCGAAAAAAAAACTTAATTTTTGAATATGTTAATTATTCAAATTTTAAAAAAAAATCGATTTTTACGTTGTAACTTAAAAATTAAAGGGTGTACGAAAAAATACAAGAGTAAAAAAATTTAGCTTTATTTTTGCTGATGATTTTGCTTATTTTTATTATTCCTCTAAAATTAATATTAATCGAGATATCGCCATTTTAAGTTATCATATGAATGAGAGAACCACCCTCTTCGAGCCCTTTAAACCCTTCAAACTTAAAAATGAAGGGCTTAAAAAAGATCAACTCAACAATTCACGTAGCCCTTACAATTCCCTGCAAAATGAGCCTTTGTGCGATTAAAAATCTTATAGGTGATAATTTTAAGAAAATACATATAAATATATAAATAAATGTAAAGGGTAATTTTTAAGGGTTGAAAAGTTGCAATCGATTCAAAATTATTTTATCAGAAGGGAATAAATGTTGATTTAACACGAGTACACATTTAAAATGTTTCTACTCTTTCAATAAAATTTTTTCATTTTATTTTCGAAAGAAGGGGTATTTTTCAAGGGTTGAAAAGTTGCAATCGATAAAAAAAATTTTTTAATCAAGAAATCAATTTCAATTTGATAAGAATGCATGATTAAAACGTTTCAAGTTGAAAAAAAATTTTTTATATTATTTTCATTCAAAGGGGTGGTTTTTAAAGGTTTTTCCGGGTTGAAAATTTGGGATACTTTACGTTTCATGTTAGATAGCACATGAAATTACTCATACTGCATAAATAAAAAAGATTTGGTTACATAAAATGCTTAAATTTGTATTTTTTCTTTTTTTTCCAATAAGGGGTGGTTTTCACCCCTTAAGAACAAAAAGCACACCTAGCGCATATATAAGTTTTGAAGTGGGGGGTAAGATAAGCCTAATTCTAAATTTTGAGAAAAATCGATGCAGTTATAAAAAATTCGGAGATATTACTATATTTTCAGCTACAGTAACTGGGCTAATTTTAGGATCGCTTTTTCAAGTGCGAATTGTACTTCAACTTTAACAAATACGTATACAACTGTTACACGTAGTCTTTTTTTAAATACAATAAGTTTCTACATTGTGTGTGACTAGCAAAGTCGCTCCAAGATTTTTTATTTCTCGACCTAGAAAAATGCGGTTTGGTTTGTTTTACTATTTGTTCACAAAGGTTCATCAGTATTTATAAATATTTACTTATTTTAAAAACTGTTCCAAATATACATATGATTTTCTACTATTTTTCGCCTATTAGTAATGCAAAATTCAACTTTTTTGATTCGCAGTAGTTGTAAGTTTATAGAAAACCATCAAATAAATAAAAATTAAAGAATGACCTTTTCGATTTAAGCCTTACTTTCAATGTTACAGGGAAAAATATGTCGAAAGACGGGTAATTTATCGTCCTTTTTGTATGTTTGTTGTTCCCTTGAATTTAGCAATGGTTTTTTGGAATAGGCAAACTCAGATTCTTATTCTGCATAATATTTGGGACTTTTCTGTACAACAAAATAGATGACTTCAACACACACACACACGCCTCGAATGCTGTACCGCCTGGACTAGTAGATGCCTGAGTATCTTATCTGTCGCGATCATTGAGCAAAAGAAAATAGTAACTTCCGTACTAAAGTACAACTGAACCAATTTACATAAAAATACAGGCTTAAGATGCGGAATTCTAAAGCAATACGTCCAACTAAATATGTCCGATTCATTCACGGGTATCATTTTAATGTGATAAACGGATGTGGCCTTGCGCCAGGAACAGCTTGCGGAATATTCGAATCTTATCTAGAGCCGCACAAAAACAAACATCAACGGAGAAAAGGCTTAGCTAATAAATTGACGGGAATAATCTCGGCCCCGTCTGCTGCTTGGTAAGCTCTAGCCGAGTTTGTTTACTAGGCGATTTATCCGTTATTATCCCTTGTTAAAAGAAATCAAACTGACGCCTGACTCGAATTACCGAGCCGTCAAATATCGGATACTCATTTTTTAAGTATACTTATCGTACTTCCGTATCGTATTAATTTTTTTAAGTACGCGTGAGAAAAATATATTTTCGTCACGTCATACACAAGGGACAGATTAGTCATATGGCGTAATGCTGTAATTCAGTTTAGGACCATTTAATTCGTAGCTTCCTGTATAATATTCAGAAATTTGCATTGTGTTCACTGGCATGAATCGTAGCGGATCATCTTCGTAGCCTTACAAGTTAGAACGATGACCGGTGTCTTGATCTTTCGAAAAATTGTAGACCTTGAAGAAGGAGAGATTAATTACAGTTCATTAATTTGTTTAATAACGATAATGTGTTTTAAATACTTATCTTCGACGATAATTGTACACAAAGATGCAGTTGTCTGGTTGAACCGAATAAAATATATAAAATATATTTATTCACGTATACAGGGTGGAACTGAGATGCTTGACACATCTGTAAAATGGCTGATTATACGTCGCAAATCGTCAAAATAAGTTTCTATTTGGATTCGGTGACCCCAACCACAAAAACGTATGGGTATGATAGGTCCAGAATGCAACCGAAGTAATCCACATAATTTTTCTATTAATTTTTTTTTCTAACGTAAAATTAACGCATTTATAACACCGACAAGTTTCTGATAGTATGTTTCGGTTGAAGTTTAATGAAAATTTGGGGAACGAAACTATTATTTCACGATATAATCAGCTGTTAGCTATTAGGAAATGTTTTATGAATATTACAGTCACGCAATACCATTTCAGTTCAATGTTAATGCACATAGAGTAATGGGTAATGCGGTAAACACGATTTTCATACTATGATTCTACAGGGAAAATGACGTAATTAACAAAAACTTGTTTCCTGCCGTATTTTTTATTGGTAGATTTTGGGCAACTCCAAAAATCCGTTGAAATAGATATCTTAAAAAACAGTTATTTTAAGAAAATAATAAAAAATCTTGAACGCCCATAACTTTTTGAAATCAAATGTGTGCCAAGGTAGCTTGATTTAATTCGACGTTCTATCATTGACATTGCATATAAATTTAATAAATCAAGATATCAATGAACTTTTCATTGACTTATATTTTCAGTTACTTTTTATTTGAGTTTTATTGTTTCTTTTATTATACGTAGATATTAAAAACCGGTATACATAAAGTTTATTCTCAACTGAATTATTAAATTAAGTATATTTTTTTTCGTTTTCATACATAATCGATTCTAGTATGCTCTTGCTTACAACTTTAACAAATATAATGATTTTGCTATTTTGGCTTTATTTATTTATACGTGCGTTGCGATCATCAAGGAAACCCTCTACAATTAAAAAAACTGTCTGACATTTACTGACGGGTTGTAACGTTAATATTCCAATTAAAACGACACCATGGTGGTCGAATTGAATTTACTTGAGATAACCCTCATGTTGTGGCGGTTCCAATTAGTATGGGAGAACTGGGCAGATGGTTTTTATAATTGTTGTGTCACTTGTCTTTTTGCGGCTGGATCATTATGAGTGTAAATAGGAATTAATCTCTACATACAATATATGCAGTGCAGTAAATATTTACATTTTGTTTATTTTTTCGAGATAATAATACGGCAAGTTACTCATTCAATTTTTAATAATTACGACTCTGCGACACTGGGCTTCTGTTGCAATTGTCTTCATTTGTCAGTATTTCCTACTAAGAATATTAATAGTAATCAATGGTTTGGTACATAAAAACATCGTCATAAACATAACCTACAAATTTCTTAGTTGTCTTGTCATCCAGATCGTTTAGTTTACGATTTTTGTCATCGTCTAAGTTGATTTTCTAAAGATTCAGTCAGTTATGGCCTAAATAGAAATCGAACAAAGCTTTTGGACATCTGGAACTCCCAAAACTCCTTTTTACCATCCCCTTTTTGCCCATCCTTTACTACCCTGCAGTAGTTTAGTAGAAAATAGCAAGGTTAATCAACACATTCAATCTTTAGTTATTTATTTTTTATCCTTAAACGTGATACTACATTCATGTTAGTTAATGTAAATTTAGCAGGTGTTTAAGGAGTTTTTTTTTGTTTCATTTTGCAGAAATACAAAAGTTTGGAGAGTCACAAGTTGTTCGTTTATAAATTACTTTGTAGTACACGATAATTTCATGAAAATATTATCGTTGGTAGTTCTTCCGGCGTATCCTAGTAATATATTATAATAATATTTGAATATATTAACGTTGAACCGTACATCGTACGAATATTTAAATTCTATTTTATAACATGGAATTATTATTATCATTAATAATATGCGTAATACGAGCTCTATTAGCTTTTTCTTTGTAGGCGTTTGACGTTTTTTTTTTTTCAGTTGTTCAGTTGTTATACTAGTGGCTCCACAAGCGTCAAGTGCCAGCGCTGTCAACTTAATGTTCGCGGTAATTTTGAATTTAAACGTATATTTATAACCTCTCCTAAAAAAAATTGCCCAAATTGGAATGATATTGAAGATACTAACAGTTTCTCGTCATGTGACGCTAAATCATATAAGCAAATTTAAATAGATAGATACGTTTTGCATTTGCAATAACTCGAGCATAAATGTCGTGTATGTAGGTATATTGTTGTTTATTTAGATTTATATAGGTCGCGCATAGATCGATATTTGCATGTACCTGAGACAACATAATACAAATTGTGACAACGGTTAGCAGTGACATTACGTTTATTGTTTTATTTTCAATGGAAATTCATCGAAGGTAATTAAAATTGACAAGATAAAATGAAACAAAAATATCAGTTCGTTAAACTTCCCTGCAAATAAATCGATACATATTTGATTAATCTTGCATAAAATAGGTTTGAAAATGTTCACGTTCCCACAAATTTAAAAATACAACTTTGTTTCGACAGGCAGCCAATAAATTCCCTTCCTTAAACGGTACTTGAAATATTTATAGATTTCTTTATTTTAGTGTTATGAAGATTGATTTATAAGTTTTTTCACGTCCTCACAGTTTTATTATCGGCGCCGAATTTGAAATTTAAGACGGGATAGTTTTTTAGGGAGCATGGATATTTTCAATAACACTATATTTTTAAATTCTTAACAGCACTATATCATTCTATGTATAAGAATTAATGTGAATTAAAAATATATTTATGGTGCCAAAGCCTCTAGAAATTACTTAAACATTTTTTGATCTTTAAAATATTTGAGAGATTTTCCAAAGAGAGAATGATATGTGCTGTGGTGTATCAAAACAGATTTTTACCGCTTTTTGTACCCCCAACAGACAGCAAATACTTGGTTCTCCCATCTGGCGAATTGCACATTAAGGATGTCGGACCTGAAGATGGATACAAATCTTACCAGTGCCGTACGAAACACAGACTTACCGGCGAAACCAGACTTAGCGCTACCAAGGGACGATTGGTCATCACTGGTGAGTGATTTTTTAATAATCATCTTTAAGATTTAGTTTAAATATGCTACAAAACTGTTAACGGGAACTGCTTGTTTATTTTTAAGGGATGTAAGTATTTCGCTAATGTTTCTAAAAATAACAAATACGCTTTTTTCATTTAAATATTTAATGAGTGGGAAATAGTTTTGTCCGTGAAAAGAATAAGCTTTTATTTAGTTTACGCGAGAACAAATAAAGATTGATTTTATAATGACTATAATTTCCTTTTTGCGGCGTGTCAAATAAATTAAATATTAAACTTGATTAAAGCCACACAACTTACGTCCCTTAAAGACTGAACAGTGTTCCTATGAATTATAAACAAGATTCCCTTTTATTTAATTATTAATTCATTTGGGCGTCACTGGTGTTAGAAGGGGTGTAAATCTATTAATTCTTTAACAACAATATACAGTGTGTCCCCGTTTGGGGTACCGCACTTTTGTAAACTTTTTTATTGTTGATTTTTCGAAAAAAAGTTATGCTTATCTTGGGAAGCCATGCCTAGCAATCAAATATGTAATAAAACATGCAGGGCGCCCAAAAAATTTCAAAATTTGAAAAAACAAAAATTAAAGGCACTTTGCTTAGGGAAAATTTCGCATTTTGAATTTTTTTTATGCCCTGTATGTTTTATTACACATTTCATTGCTAAGCATGTCTGTCCAAGATAAGCAAAACTTTTTATCAAGGATAAGTTTTTCGGCGAAAAATCACTGTATAAAAAATACTGGAAAGCGTTTCGCATACGTTTAATTTTGAGTTGAGATGAAGGGGAATATAAAGCCATTCTATTTATGTTGATTGCCTTTAATTCAATCGTATATTTGTTTGTTACATTAGTAAATCAAATTTACAATTAAACCACTCTTCAATATGTGCAAAACTTATTGCTGCAAGGATAAAAACAAATTATTTCCAAATATATTAATGCTAATATATATTTCGTGCTCTGTTAAATCAGAACTATATGCGGGCCTGGGTAAATATCGCACACCATGAACTTTGTAGCATATTTAAACTAATAACTAGCCAAGAAACCAACGTAACGTAACGAATTCGACGTATATATCTATACAACAGTACTCAGGTATTATTTTTATTATTCTACTACGAGATTTATCGGCATTTGGAATCATTCACATGTTCGTTGGTCGTTACGACTTACGTTTGCCTCTTCGGCTCGTTGATATTCACGACGGGGTTTGTTAGCTACTCGAATTATTTCCCACATTACTACTCGTTTGTTTGTGTTGCGGTAAAAAAAGAACAGTAGTTTTATAAATAGCCCCACGAGGATCCAATACGGACCATCTGGATAGGATTTTTTTCATATTCCTTCTAGATTTATTTATATAAAATTTTATTAATCGCGCTTGATTCAAGCGCCGTACATACAGTTTTACAGGGTGTTACCAAAATCCCTTCATTGTAAAAAGGACTTAGCATTTATAATTGTATGAAAAAAATTAGTTAATTAAGATAAAAAATTAAAATTATGCTCGTGAAATGAGTATCAGTTCAAATGTTTAGTAGTTTCATTTTGTTGCTGTAAATTGAAAACAAAAATACGTTTAAATTAAATAAAAATAAAACAAAAACTGGAAATTTTTAAAACATTTATCGAATTATGTTTTTGTCAATCTCCTTTGCTCCCTTTAAAAAATTTTCGAGAAAATTTTTTGTTAAAATACTGTGAAGTATCTCTGCTAATACATATTTTAAATTACTTCTACATATTTTCTCTGCAAAATAGTATATATATATTTTATTCATAACTGAGTAGTTTGAAAAAGGCTGTTAGTATTATTATTAATTTTCAGCTATCTTGTAGAGGTCGCGAGTTGCTATCTTTTTCAGCGACATTTTAAAACTGTTTTGAGGTTAGGTGTTACGCACATTATAACGTAAAATTTCATTTTATACAAAATACGTACTCTTATTGGTAGAGTCAATGCAATTTGTAAAAATTTGGTAAATGACTTTTTTGCGATTTTTATCAAAAAAAGGGAAACACTTTTTTATTTAGAGCAATTTTTAAAATCTGAAAACACTTTTTCATAACAAGTTTTTCCGGGGAATTTCACTGTAGGTATAATTAGATTTTCATTCGATGTTTCGGTTGCGAGAAATCATCATCAACTTTCTTTTTCCTTTTCCAAACATTCTCAAATTTGTCATAAGTTTAGAGAAATGCCGTTTATTTGGTGATTGGTTTTTGGGATAATTTCCAATATAATTCTAAATAAAAAAGTTAGATGATTTTCGAAAACGCCACATTTACTTTTTTCAAATAACTCAAAAAACTTAAGGAGGTATGTCGGGGTCCGAGGGAAGTGAGGAGCGCAGGGGGGGTCCTATGCTTTTCTTATGGGACTAAAGCCCGCTGCCAATTTGAAAAAATTAAATTCTATTGAAATTATTTGCGATAAACATTATCTATATAGCAAAGAAATCTACTCATGTGCACATAGCATACATATTGACTAATTAACAACATAAAAATATCATATTTAAGTAGTTTTAAATTATATTTAGCGAACGCATAAAGACTATGTAGATGTGGCAACAGCGCTAATAATTGACTAGCAGTTGTACACACTGCGAACCTACAGACCTCGGACATCGGAGATATTGCGCGTCAAATTCGGGTAGAGATGCGTACGCGTTCAAAAATGTATTGTGTGTAAACTATGTACAATATAATTATTATATATAGCAAATATATCGTATTATCCTCGCGAAGATATGTATCCTTTATTTAAAATCTGTAAATCATGTGAACTGGTAAATCAACCGAGAATTATGTTAATTTAGTTTTAAAGAAATGAAACGACACTCGCGCCCATCTCTCGTCCAAGTCAATGAAAATGTTGGATGCAATTTTGAAGGTTCTGTGATAGAAATTACATTATTACTCACTGTTCGTGTTTTTAATCTCTATTTTAGTAATGTTCCAAAAGTTTTGCAACTATAACTAATTTTTTAGATATAAAGTTTGCTGAGAAATATTTATGTTCCTTTGTTATTCCGTACAAATGCTTTTATCTCAAGTATTACTAATTATATTAATCAAGTAAAGAAAACTTTATGTAACCCTAAATATTGCTGGGTAATGATTACGATGTTTTTATAAACCATTAAATATATTAAAAGGATTTATCAACTGTATTTTTTATTCCAATAAATATATCACAGCTTCCTAGTCTTTTTTAATTAATCTAGTTTTTTAAAAACATTACAAAAAATCATCTGTTGTGGATAATTTATTGTTGATAACAATGTACATGGGATTTAGGAAAAATGTATATGTTTGAAATCAATTTCGTTTTTATCAAGTCTTTCAAATGTATTCCCTCCTTGCTGTCAGCTGATTGCGACGTTGCCACATTAATCCTCAAGTCAGACAGAAATGCAATTATTGGTTTCTGTTTCTAATTAATACAGCTGTACTATGTTCAAAACTTACATTAGTTTTACATCAAAAATAAGATAATACTGTGTACTATCTATGGAAAAGTTTTGTTTCACAATTTCTACATTTTTTTCTCAGTTATGGGCAAAAAAAGAGCCGCACCGTCCATCTTCGCCATATAAACCTATGTTAAAATGAACAACTTTCAACAACAGTATCTCAAAATCTAGAATCAAAAAAAATTTCAAAAAAATATGACGCACTGAGGGAGCACTGGGTAATACGCTATATAAATTTCAAGTACATCTGTGCATTTGAGTAAACCCGATATAGGTACCTCCTTAACAGCTAGAACTGGCCTGCAAGCGCCATTAAGTCAGCAACAGAACTGTCTAAAACTTTACCCATCTAACCATTTTCCTATCTTTTATATTTTCCAAGATACCAATACATGCATCACCAAAATGGTCCACAATGTGGACCAAAGTTGCCTTATTTTTGTTTTGTGTTCTGTCGGCCAACAAAATCACCTTGGACGTGGCGGAAATCAAAGCGGAAATCGTTGGTAAATGAAAGAAATTACAAGTACCGGGCACTAATCTGCCTTATTATTTTGTTCCCTAAAAATTCGACAGTTATGTGGCGTCTCTGCGTTACGTGATCCGTGAATAAAAGCTACTTCCTCGATTCGAAAACATCCCGTCCACTTCCTGTCCCCATGAATAACACAATGCACGAGTGTCAAGACACCATAAATAATTAAGCCAATTAAACACAGCTTTTATAATTACTAGATATAAAAGTGCGCCTTCATAAGCAAACAACTCTTGATGGGTGCTTAATATATTAAAAGCTTTGTATGTGAACATTTTGTTTACCGAAACCACCATAAATGCTGAAAACAAAAGGAAGGAGCGTTTCTTGTTTCTTGCGCGAATAGAGATCGTGCACTTAGATTCGTTCGAGTGCAATTGGCCTTATTGACTGGTGCAATTGAAACTAATTCGATGAAAGACGGTCGAAATAGATTACAAAGCCAATTTACGGTTTAAAAAATGTCTGAATGGGAAGAAGTTATTTGTCATATGTCACCATTTAAGATTAAGTTAAACCTTTGTACATAAGTTCATTACATGTGTAAATAATTCGAAAATTAATAATTCGCAAAAGCTGCTATAAATTTGAGTGCAGATAGAACCGACAAACATAATATGAATAATCGAATTTTGGTTCCTAAGAATCACAAGATGCGATTCTAAATCATCAAATGATTTCACCGCATGCGTAGACACACCATATTTTATTCACATCACAGTTATATCTAAAGGTGGCTAAAGCAATATCTAAATTTGGGGTACTAGTAAATAAAGGGAGATAAATTACAATTTGTGATGTGTTGGTTACTATTAGTTTGTTACACTAAACAGTAAATAATTGTAACTCATAATGAACAGTGGACCTTATTTTGTAGACTTTTAAAAAAAAATTACAAATACTATCAAAATAATTCGAGTAGCTACAAAAGAATTGTCACCTCTGCTGCCTTGCATATTAAAAAATAAAA